ATCTTGATCTTAAATTAATTATAGAAAACAATATAGTATTTTTCAACTGATCAAACAAGTCATCAATATGCAGGAGTGGATATTTGTTCTTGATAGTTACTTTGTTCAGTTATCTATAGTCAATACATATTTACATGGATCTATCTTTCTTCTTAACAAAAAGTACAGATGCACTCCAAGGTTAATTGCTGCCGAAATTTCTCGGAAATTACAAAACCTTTTCTTGGAGAATTTGTTACTTTTTTTGGAGCCATTGGAGAGAAATTGATTCATTTAAAAATAATTAACTTAAATAATAAACAATAATAATAATAATAATAATAATAATAATAATAATAATAATAATAATAATAATAATAATTTATTTCATGCAATTAATTAATCAAATAATAAACTAATTAATTTTAAAATAACATTAATATTAATTCATTTCATTTTTTTAAATTAATTGAATTTAACTAAAATTTCATAATGTAAATTAATCTATTTAATTAATTAATTCATAAATAATATTAAAATTTAATGAAATAACTAAATCATTTGAAAAAATTAATTTTAATGTTAATAAAATAATCACACTAATCTACTCTCAACAACAACTCAAACAACTCAAACAACTTAAAATTTAATGAAATAACTAAATCATTTGAAAAATTAATTTTAGTATTTTTCAAGGGAAAGTTGTAAGATCAACCTTAGGGGAAAATTTTAGGAAAATTACCTAACCACTAAGCCCCAATTAAAATGCTGGCCACTTCTAATAGAAGTTGTAGGTTCGACCTCTGAGGGAAATATTTACGTGATAACATAACCCTAGACCCCTCACTCAGGCCTCCTAGTCTATAGGGCTTGGTTGTAAGACCCACAACTTGGATCATTTAGCTTATCGGGTTAGGTCGTAAGACCCATAATTAGGCAATTTCTAAGGAAACAATAAGACCTACGCAATTGAAATCTTCAGGCTACCTTTAGTAGAGGCCATAAATCACACTAAATGGGCTACTTTCTAATGAAAGCCATAGGTCCCTACTCAAATCTAATCACACGGATATCTCTTGTTGAAAAATCAAGGCAAAAAATTTTAGGAGAGAATTTCATCTTTAAATAATATTTTGAAATACAATAATTATGATACTAACCTCATTTTGAAAGTATGTGAAATTTCTATCGTAAATTCCTCAATAAAACACATAAAAGCACTGACAGTAATTCAATGCACTAGGCATCCTAGTCTATAGGATTAGATTGTAAGACTCGATAATGAGCAATTTTTAAGGGATGTAATAAGCCCCATAGTTTAAAAAAATGGCTAAATAAATTGCAATGACCATAAAATCCAAACAATTAAATTAAAATTCACGGGCATCTTAGTCCATATGATTAAGTTGTAAGACCTGCTTTTTTAGACAACTTATTGAGGGAAGTCATAAGATCTACCAAAAATAATTAAATCTCTGGGCAGCCTTGCTGTAGAGTTAGGTTGTAAGACCCACCTTTAGGTAACTTATAAATATAGTGAGCCCCACTCCAAATTAAACATACGATCTACTTTCTATGAAAGCAAGAAGTTCCAACCTAAATTCAAAAGCACCCAACTACTTTCTATGAAAGCTATAAGTCTCAACCCAAATTTAAATGCCTGGGCTACTTCCAATAGAAGTTGTAAAACCCATTTCAATTTAAACTTTTGGGTCACTTATGAACGAAGTCATGAATCCTGAACTAAATTAACTTTTGGGTATTCTAATAGATGTAAACCTAAAAACACCCAATAAAACTAAAATTCACATCTAATCACTCAAGTTTACTTGGAATCCCTTAAAGGAAGCAGCTCATGACTGCTAATCAGATTCCCTGGACACTACAATAATGTTAGGATCTTGTCCATTTACTTGATTGTTAGTGTTAGTATACTAAAACTATGATATACCCGGAACGATGGAACCATGGGATCTTGTTCGAGTTTACCTCCACTTGCCTCATAATTGAACTAAATTACTTAATAAAAATTATTCATCATTAATCGAGAGTTCTCTCTTACGTGTTAAAAGATGTAATTAATTATGAGTACTTGCGCTTATGTGAAGTAAGAACCCCAGATTTAATTAAACCCTAACACTACCCTCAAGGGAAATCTGGTTAATTGCATTCTGACTTAAGGGAAATGAAATCCTACAACTGCAAAGCGGGATTCATGCATTCGTGTCGTTTTTTCTTGAGCCAACAATATTTTTATAAGCTATTCCTATGAGTCAGCATGATTCTCTAAATCCCATAGTACTGCTTAGGCATTTATTTGTTTGTTTTTTTGGCCCATCTTCAACTATATAAGTGAAATTATGAGATGCTCCAACAGTGGGGTGAATTGGAAAATTGTTGCAATGAAAAAATCCTAAACATGAGTTCTAATAATTTTTTTTGAATTTTTAAATTTTAAACAAGAAAATTAAATTATGCGGAAGCAAGTGATTGAAACACAATTTGCAACGAGTTTTACAATAATTTTCACCAAGCAATTTTAATGAAAATAAAATGTAAGCGTAAATAAAAAATAGTAAAGGAAAAACCACACCAGAGATTTTATAATGGTTCGGTCACTTGACCTACGTCCACTCTCCTGAGTCCTCCACTCTAAGAATTTTACTAATAAACAATAGTTCTCCTTGGGCCTATCTTGTAAACAGCCCTTATTCACTAATCCTTGGGCCTATCTTTTGAAAATTTATGCATTATTTTTAAAATTTTCATTTTTTTCTAAGGAAGCCTCATTCATCAAAATTATATAATCTACAAATAGCAAAAGTCAAGGTAATGCACTTTTGATATTTGATAGTCTTCTAGTGGTTAAAAACTTATTGATCACTCCATAAATACTTAAATGATTGTTAAGACTCTAATGCTTTATCTTGATCGGGCATGAATCTCGAGGCAAAATCAAGTTGGAAACTTAAAAAATTAAATCGGAGACCATCTGAGCTCCGATTTCAGCAAACTTATAGTCAAACTGAACGTCTCGGAAATACGAACCCAACGACACCAAATTTGACTCAATTCGAGCTCAAATGAGCCCAAATCATAGACCCGAACGCATTTATAAGGTTCAATCCATAATTTGGATTACCAAACAGTTTCCAAATGTGACATGTTTATAGTTGAATCGAGTTGCTCGACGAGTCGAATCCAACAAGCCCAAGATCATCAAATTTTGATATCTTTAAGACATTCAAATACCAAATAAATGGTCCAAGATTTAGGGATTCAATATCGGCCATCCATTCAAACCACTCCCAATTTATCCTAGATCTACCTTTTATTTACAGGCCATGCCACTATCAGAAAACTATAAACAACCCTCATTTCCCATGGGGGGGGGGAGAAACAGGGGGGGGGGGGGGGAGAAACATGGAACCCAAGCAAAAAGAGAAGGGAGAGAATGAAGAGTTCTCTTTCCACCAGACTACTCGACTACCGACGGACTTCAACCCAGCCACTGATTGCCGCCGGACTTTCGCTCGGCTCTCGACGGACGCAGGATTTTTCCCTGTCCACAGACTAACACTGAATTTATGCACTGCCAACAACTGATTCCGGACTTTTGCCCCCATCACCGGATTTCTACCCAAACTAGGGCTTTCACCAGTCCCCAGACTTCTACCCGATGCTGAACCTTTGCTCGTCTCCATATTTTTGTCGGACTTCTGCGCAACGCTGAATATCTGCCTATCGTTGGACTTTCATCGGACTTCCACCTGACGCCAGACTTCTGCCAATCGCCGGACTTTCATCAGACTTCTACCGGACGCCAAATTTCTTCTCATCGCCAGATTTTTGTCTGTCTTCTACCTTACGTCGAAATTTTGCCCGTTGTTGTACTTTCATCGGACTTTTACCCAACGCCTAACTTTCACCCGTCTCCAGACTTTTGCCCGACGTCGGACTCCCACCAGACGCTTGGCTTTCGCCCATTGTCGGACTTTCGTTGGACCTCTACCCGATGCCGATCTTCCACCTATCGTCGGACTTCTGCTCGGACTTTCGTCAAATTTCTACCTGACGCTGGACTTCCGCCAGTCAACGGTCCGTCCGACCTCGTCGCCTGCCGACTGCAGTCGTTCTGAACACCGTCGCCCCCCGACTATGGTCCTTCTGACCTCCGTTGCCTGTCGACTACAGTCCTTTCGAGCTCGAAAAGGATCTTTATGACCTCCATTGCCCGCCGACTATGATACTTCCGACCTCTGTTGCCCATCGACTATGGTCCTTTTGACTTCCGTCGCCAGACAACGGTCCTTTCAACCTCAGCTGCCCACCGACTACGGTCCTTCCAATCTTCGTTGCAAGACAATGTTCTTTACGACCTCCATCGCCCACTGACTATCGTCCTTCTTATCAAACGAAAACGTCAACAGTGATTCTTCCTATTTCCACCATGTAACACACTCTATATGATGTATATTTGTTACATCATGCCAAGGCCTTCCTTCCAATAAAGGGCCTCATTTGTAATAAACTGCAAATATTAGTGGATTCATTCTACCCAGGCTAGGCCCCATGATTTTTCCTTTATTCAGGACTTTCCACGTAAAAATTTTGGTCTCTTTAAATAATGCATCATCTCTCTTATCTGATAGCATGCTGGATCTTTGTACTAAGCTAAGATATTAAAATTTATATTTCTTTGCCACCACGTATATTCATGGACGCAACATATATATATATATAATGAAATTGATGTTACTGGTTTTGTTGCGCCCTTCCTATTTTCAACTCTCTGTTTGAATTTTTTGCAGACATGCTCATACTGAATTTATTTCTGAATTTTAAAGATGCTCTCTTAACATTGGGCTTTTCTTTCCTAACTGTGATTTGTTGGATAATCATGATTAATGATTTTTTGGTTTAAAATCTTGAAGTTTAGATGTGGTAAAGTTTTCTTGAAATATATTTTGGTTATTCTGCATTTTTGTACGATTGGTGGTTTGATTATTTAGATTCTTTAGAGCTTGAGGCGGCACATCAAGGTTGACAGCGAACTTCGGGAACCTGTGACAAAGAAAGAGCTTGTGGCTGAGGTATAACTGCTCTATATTCTAAATCCATCGATTAACTTGATAGTTGTATTTTCAGGAAAACTGATAAGGAGCTTGGGATCCACATTTGAATTATTCAAAGCCTGCACACCATAGTTATACTGGCCCTTCGTGCACCATCATGTTTGACCATTTTTAGGAATAGCGATAAACAAACTATCAGGTTAATATTGTAGATACGGTTCTGGAAGCAACGTACATCTCTTGATGAAGCTTTTTGCTTGTGTGTCGTCCATTCAAGCTGCATATCTTGATAACATGTCCCCATTTCAAGCTGAATAGAAGTTAAAGTTGAAACACTTTTTGTTGGGTAATAGGCAAAACCTATTCAGAGACAATGAAAAAGAGTAGAGCATAAAAAAGTTGTACAGAAAAATATACTAGATTTTTTGTAGGTTCATCCGATTGATAGCTATATCTTGTTGTCACTTCTACAGATTTCATTATGATTTGATTATGAAGAATTATAATCTAATTTTTTTCTTTTAATATCACATAAAGATGGCGTTCCCCTCTTTACAAAAAGGGTAGCCAAAAATAAATTAAATTTGCAAGATGCCCTTTTTAACAGATTAATGAAATAGATTTGTCTTGTTAATCTCCCTGAAATAGGTGGCTCGGCAGCTTTGTGTAAACATCCATCCTGATAATATTCACTTACCATCACCCCTTTCATCACTGGGTGAGTACGAGGTTGTTCTTAGGCTACCACAGGAGATTCCTCGGCCAGAGGGATTGTTACAATGGACTCTAAATGTCAAGGTTAGAAGAAAGTGAATGAGCTGAAGACTGCAACTTCGATGATCTTTCCAGATCAGGGAGTGATTACAGGTGTCTTCCAGCTCAGCAAAGCCAAATATATTTTTTGTTTGATTAGTTCTTTTCAGCTGGTTTGTTGGCGTTCTGGTAAGTTCAGAATTTTCTTTCGTACTGATATTGTCGTAGTTTCTTTCTTGTTCAATTAAATTTATCAATTTGTTCAACAAAGTACAGCTTTTTTTTTTTAAGGTTGAAGTTTCAACTGTTTTCCATTCTCTCGGTATCTTTGGAGTATGCGAGTTCTGAGCATGAAAATTATATATGTTCAACTTTCTTCATTGATTAATAGGTGAGACGTTTAGAAGTTCATAAACTGCAAATCATAAATAACCGTTGTACAGTGCTAATTGATTATGTGATTCATAGTCTATGAAATTTATCTCTAATAATTTTTTTCAAAATGTAAGTTCATGTAAAGATATCTTATTAAGCTTTGAAATCTATAAGTTCTTAGGCTACCATCCAACATAATAATCCTAGTGTATTGCTACCAAAACGGGACAAAAAAATAATAATAATAATAAAAAAAAAGAGGAAATCAAAATGAAGGTCAATTTCTGGAACCTTGGTAATATTTGCTTTGCTCACTGCTTTACGGATTTAACTTTTTTTATCCAAAGAAAAAAAAAACTTTTTTAATGACATCTAACAATCACATTAAGACAATCAGCATATATAATGGATTTCGAGATTAATAATTATGCATAGCCACATCTATCTTTGGTATTCAACTCTATTTGGTCAGTAGTAACCGTAATGTTCCAAATGCCAATGTTTGTTCTCAAAAGCTTGGATTAAAATTGTCATAAGCATCTAAAATGAAGTTTCGGGCACATTTGATTGTTTTAGAAGATAAATTATTAACTTTGTTGGAGGAATTTATCATTTGGATGGAATTAGATAGAAATAAATATAAATTTAAACATAAAACAAATTATATATATATATATATATTGTTGCATCCTGGGATATTCACGATAGCAGAGAAATATAGAATTTGGTGTCTAAGCTTTGTACGAATATTGCACACATGTATAGATAAAAGAGAGGGTATAACATTCATAAGAGACATCAAGATTTTTACATGGAAATCCTGAAAAGGAGAAAATATCACTGGGCCTGGCCCAGCTTGAATGAATCCATTATTATTTGTCGTCAAGTACAAATGAAGCCCTTCCTTGGGGGAAGGCCTTGGCTTGATGTAACAAATATACATCATATAGAGTGTGTTACAAATGATGGGACTTGAATGAATCTTTATCTATACATCTGTTTGGTTGATAGAATCATAATCGACAGACAACGAAGGTCGGAAAGACTATAGTCTAGTGGCACTAGTTGGAGGGACCGTAGTCTATAGATGATAGTGGTCAATAAAGATCATTCTCTTATGAAGGAGATCAGAAGGATCATCATCGGCGGGACAGTGGTCAGAAGGATCGTTGTCTAGTGATGGAGGTTGGAAGGACCGTAGTAGGTGACGGAGGCCAGAAGGATCATAGTTGGCATGAGACAGTGGTCAGAAAGATTGTTGTGTAGCAATGGAGGTCGGAAGAACCATAGTAGGCGACGGAGGTCAAAATGACCATAGTCAACAAGTGATAGGGGTCATAAAGACTATTATCTGACAGTGGAGGTAGGGAAGATAGTAGTAGACAACGGAGGTTGAAAGACCGTAGTCGTTAGGTGATAGGGGTCAGAAAGACCATTATCTGGAGATGGAGGTTGAAAGGGCCGTAGTAGGCGATGGAGGTCGGAAGGACCATACTCGACAGGAGACAAGGGATAGAAAGACCGTTGTTTAGAGATGGAGGTCGGAAGGACCATAGTAGGCAATAGAGGTCGGAAGGATCATAGTTGGCAGGAGATAGGAGTCAGAAAGATCGCAGTCGAAGGTGGTGGTCTGGTTGAAGTCCAGACATTAATCGGTGGTCTGGCGGAACTCTGACTTCTCTTAGTGGTCCGACAAAAGTTCGGGCATTATTCAGTGGTCTGGCGGAAGTCCAACTTTTGTCGGTGGTCCGGCGGTGGTTTATCAGAACTCTGGCATCAGGCGGTGGTTTATAAGAACTCTTGCGTCAGGCGATGGTCCAACAAAACTCGGGTGTTAGGTGGTAGTCCAGCGGAACTTTGGCATTAAGAGGTGGTCCGGCGTAAGGCGATTATCTTGAAGGAAGTCCGGTGTCGGGTGGTGGTCCTGGCAGAAGTCCGGCGTCAGGCGGTGGTCCGGCGGAAGTCTGGCATCGGGCGGTGGTCCAGCAGAAGTCTATCATCGAGCGGTGGTTCGGCGGAAGTCTAGCGTCGGGCGGTGGTCCTGACGGAAGTCTGGCATTGGGCGATGGTCCTGACAGAAGTCCGACGTCAGGCGGTGGCCTTGACAGAAGTTCGGCGTCAGACAGTGGTCCTGACAGAAGTCCGGTGTCAGGCGGTGGTCCTGACAGAACTCCTACATTAGGTGGTAGACTTGTGAACTCCGGCATTAGGAGGTAGTTTGACAGAATTCCAATGTTAGGCAGTATTATTATTATTTTTGTATAACTTCCCCAACTTCCTCTTCTCTTTTTCACTATAAATACCCCCTTTGGGACATGAAAAAACTTGCCCCTCACTTTCTCCTCTTCTCCTCAAGCTGAGGCCTTTTCCTAGTCCTGTTTAGGCGATATCCCTTATCTAGGTCTAGGGCCCATTACTGAGTAGAAGTCTCCTCATTCTTTTCTCCTATTCTCCTTAGGCTGAGGCCTTCCCTTGGTCCTTTTTAGGTGATATCCCCTGTCCAAGTCTAGGGCCCCTCACTAAGTAGGTGTCTCATTCTCCTTTCCTCTTCTTCTCCTCGGGTTGAAGCCTTCCCTTGGTCCTATTCATACGGTATCCCCTATCCAAGTCTAGGGCCCCTCACAAAGTAGGAGTCTCATCCTTTCCTCTTCTCTCACCTGTAGTACGGGAGGCCTTCCCTTGTCTTTAGATAAGCAGTATCCCTTATCTAACTGTAGGACCCCTCCCTATATAGAGGTTATGTAGGGGGATCACCCTTCTTCGAAAGATCCGACGACCAAGAGAGATTCACAACCGTAGTCGGTTGGTGATGTAGGTCGAAAAGACTTATCATGAGACGGAGGTCGGAAGGGCCATATTTTGATGTCGGGTAGAAGCCCGACAAAAATCTGGCGATAGGTAGAAGTCCAACGATGGACAGAAGTCCGACCATGAGGCAAAGTTTGACGTCGGGTAGAAGTCTGACAAAAATCTGGCGATGGATAGTAGTCTGAAGAAGGGAAGAAGTCCGGCGAAAATCTAGGGTTGGGTAGAAATCCAGTGATGGGAGGAAGTCCGGCGTCGTTGACATCGTGTAAAAGTTTTGACGAAAGTTTGACGATGGGCAGAAGTTAGTTGATAGGCAAAAGTTTGACTGTGATCGGTAGCGATTGACAACCGGGTGAACAGTTGAAGGTGAGAGTGTGCTGATAATATTAGTCGGAAAAGGGGCCACTAATATCTGATATGGAGAAGGAATGATGAGGGTCACAATCGAATCGTACTTTATTAGAAGTAGTCTGCATCCACACTGGCGTGTGAGAGCATCAGGCATCCCTGATGGAAGAGGTCAAAGTAATGTACCCTGTCAATAGTGTAGTGACACACCAACATTATTAACTGAGTGGAGGCCTGATGATGATTAGGTTATATTTTTTCTTTGAAGAAGAAGTTATAAGAAATGCATTAATGTGTAGTAGAGAAGATGTCATTTGAATTCACCAAGGATATTTGACTGTTTTGAAGTTGAGAATCCACCAAGGATATGTGACTTATATGAGATTATATGTAAGAGCACTGCTCGATGATGTTAACATGTATGAAAGAGATTGAGAGAATCCACCAAGAATGTATAGCCTATATCCGAAGTTGTATGTCAGAGCACTACTCAATGACGTAAACCTAAATGGAAGAGGTACAAATTATCCACCAAGGATGTATGACCTATCCGAGGTCGTATGTCAAAGCACCGCTCTATGATGTTAACTTATATAGAAGAGGTTGAGAGAATCCACTAAAGATGTATGACCTATTCGAGGTTGTGTGTCATAGCCTTGCTCGATGACATTAATATGTATGGAAGAAGTCGAGAGAATCCACCAAGGATGTATGACCTATCCGAGGTTGTATGTTAGAGCACTACTCAATGATGTTAACTTGTGTGGAAGAGATCGAGAGAATCCACCAATGATGTGTGACCTATCCGAGATTTTATGTCAGAGATTTGTATGTCAAAGAAATATAAAGTTTAACGTCAAAGCTTTGTGCAAACATCCAAAAAGCATACAGATAAAAGAGGATGCAATATTCATAAGATACTCCAAGATTTTTATGTAGAAAATCCTAAAATTGGGGAGATATCATGGGGCCTGGCCTAGTTTGAATGAATCCACTATTATTTGTAGTCAAGTATAAATTAGGCCCTTCCTAGGGGGAAAGCCTTGGCTTGATGTAATAAATATATATCATATAGAGTGTATTATATGATGAGACTTGAAAGAATCACTATTGATACATCTATTTGGTCTGTAGAACCATAGTCCACGGGCGACGGAGGTCGGAAAGACGTAGTCTAATGATAGTGGTCAGTAAAGATCGTTATCTTATGAAGGAGATCAAAAGGATGATAATTGGCTACAAACAGTGGTTAGAAAGATCATTGTCTAGTGATGGAGGTCGGAAGGACTGTAATAAGTGACATAGGTCGAAAGAATCATAGTCGGTAGGAGACAAGGGTTAGAAAGATTATTGTCTAGCAATGGAGGTCAAAAGGATTGTAGTAGGCGATTGAGGTTGGAAGGACCATAATCAATAGGATATACGAGTCAAAAAGATTGTTATCTAGCGATGGAGGTCAGAAGAATCGTAGTAGGCGACGGAGGTCAGAAGGACTATAGTTGGTAGGAGATAGGGGTCAGAAAGACCATAATCTAGCGATGGAGGTCGGAAGAATCGTAGTAGGCGACGGAGGTCGGAAGTACTATACTCGATAGGAGATAGTGGTAAATAAATTATTGTTTGGCAATGAATGTTGGAAGGACTGTAGTAGTCGTCGAAGGTCGAAAGGATCAAAGTCAGTAGGAGACAAGGGTCAGAAAGACCGTAGTCATAAGGTAGTGGTCCAGTGGAAGTCTGGGAGTTATTCGGTTGTCTGGCATTACTCCTACTTATATTGTTGGTCCGA